GGGGGGGGGGGGGTACTTCATTACTGCCCCCTGTGGTGCCTCCACGGACACTGAGGGGGTCACCTTAGTATCCTGGCCAGCAATGAAAGCCCTTACTCTAGCTTCCTCTAACACCAGCCCAGCAAAAGAGGAGGGGCACCTTGTTATTCCATGCTCCTGGATAATGTGAAGTCCAGGCTTCCCACATCATCTCCACTGACAATGCAAGTGTGTCCCATCCCCCCCCTCACCCCACCCCCGTTAACACCTGGCAGGGATGAAATTCCTGCTCCCCTTTTAGGCTTCTCTGCCATCAGCCCACTGGGAGGCTTGGAGCACCTCCTTACACCTGGTGAGGGTGGAACTCTCAGTTCTCCACCAAGCCTTTGGTGCAGTGGGTACATCCACAGTTTTTCTGTGTAGTGCTTGGCTGGAATAGAGGGGCTATTTTCTATCTTGCTAGTTTCCTCTTTTCTTCTTGGGGTGTTCTGTCTGCACCTGTTGGCATTTCCAGGTTGTTGCCTCTCCAGTACCCAGTCTGGGGTATGTGAGACAAAAAGAAAACCTAGTACTCACCATGGTGTCATTTCTTGTGTCCTAAGGTCCCTAACCTGTCTATATTCATTTCTCCACCTTTCAGAGTCTTAGGGTTTACTTTACATTTAATGTCCAGGGTTTTTAGGTATACTTAGTGAAAAACAGGGAAAGATACTTCTATCTACTTCTGAGGGTTCTGTCCCTTGTACTCCATTTTATATAATTCTCCCAATTTGTTTACTAAAAATGTCATTCTCATCTTTTCAGTAACCTGCCCAAAAATCTATACCTCCGGACTACAGTATGAAGTCCAAACTGATTTTGCTGCCATGAAAAGACCTCCATACCATGGCCTTTCCACTGCTCCCACTATGAACTGTCCATTCAGGCTAGTGAGCCGATGTTCTCTGAAAGGTTTTTAAATATCTGCATTTGTGCACCTCTTCTCATGTTCCCTCTTCCTAGAACTCCCTTCAACCTCCCTTCTGGCTATCTAAATCCTACTTACTTTTCAGGGTCCTATTTCACCAATAAATCACTGTGATCTCTACCACCTCTGAATTCCTGCAATATTGACTCCCTGTACCAATCCCTTTGCATTCTGCCTTATACTGGTATTATGCTTTCATAAATAAGTTATCTCTCCCTTAAAGGCAAAAATTACATTTTATACTTCTTCTTATCCTCTACGTCACTTTATATGATGCCTGGCACATAGCAGATACTCAATAAATGTCTTTCATGTGATTTATTTCTTGATTTGACACTAAGGTGAGTTATAATAATGGAACTTTCATAAAAATATGGTTTAGAAAGTATTAAGACTGAAACTCAATCAGATAATTGATAAAAGTAAAGTAACTTTCTCTTCCTTCCATTCAATTGAAACATATTACTCATTGATTAACCCAGTGCCAGATACTGGGATATGCTGGTAAATAAGACAGACACAGTCCCTTCCCTTATGAAGTTTATAATTTAAAATTCACATTCTTAAGCAAAAAAATATTTATGTTAGCATTACTAGAGAACAGTCTACTACTGACAAAATCAATGTTAGCTACAAACTATATCAATACAAATGTGGGATAAAAAGCATAATGATGGAAAGATGAATAAAGGAAATAAACAACACAACTGAAACTGTAAGGGTCTGTGGAAGGTGAAACATTGACTGACAGTCTACAAAGGAACAAACTGTCAGTGTTGGCTGGTTCTTGCAATCTTAATAACAGAAGGGTGTCCCATAGAAAACGTTAAAAAATATTTCACCAGGTATACAGTATTCTCCAAATCAAAAGGAACAGGTAACAGTGGTTATCTCCAGAAAGGGGAACTGGGTGGTAGGTGATAAGGATCAAAGGGAAACTTACTGTTCACTGTATACCCTTTTGTACCTTTTGAATTTTGAATCATGTGCATATATTACCTATTCAAAAAAATAAAGAAATTAAAGCTGAAATGCAATTACAAAAAAAAAAAAAAAAAGCTTTCTGCAAGAAAAACAGATTCTTAACTAATTTTAAACAGAATTTCTCATGAGCCTTTCAAACTTTTATCCTAGACACTGATTATATCTCAGGCAAAACTTATCTTCCTTTAGCCGCCTGCAAAAACTGACACTTCTCTGTACTTTCTGTCAACTCCTCGTCAAACCACCTGCCTCAATAAGGGTCATCCTTATCTCTGGCCCCTCACCTTACATAACAGGGTCCTAGATAATGTCAACTGTTCGATCTACTACACATCCATAAGGGCAGGGGCTGTGTCCATCTTATCTCCCTTTATCTCCCACTCTCAGCAGGGAGAAATAGAAGTCAACTCTTTTCTCAGTCTGTACTAGTTTATAAACCATGGTTTTGTTTTGTAGGTATTCAATGAATACTGGTTGAATAAACCACTCTTTTGACTTTAATTACCATTTATACACACAAAACATAAATCTAGCTTTTAAATGTATTATCCCAAATCACTACCATTTGCACTGTCTTTCCTGTACAGGTCTTACGCACGCGATCCTTCCTCCTCATTCCTACTGCATCTTTGTCAAGCACTTGTATTTCATGTAAACTAGTTCAATATCTGCCCTCTATCCTATACTTCTACAACCACTGTTCTTAAAGATCCAGTTTACCACTGTCTGAGAGAACAAGGGATGCTTTTCATCCCCTACTTCATGGTACTTCACCAGATTAAGAAATGACTTCTCATTTGAGTTCTCTCTCAGTGCCTCTTCTACTGCTCTTCTCCATAGCATGCAAAATTCAAATTGCTTTATTTCTCTCTCTTAAATATCCAATTGCTTCACTTAGCTTCTCAGACTGATCAATAAAGAACTAATAGTTCCTCCCTCTGGCTATTAAGACTGGAAATTGTTTTGGTTACTTTTCTGAGTTCTCCCTCCAAACTTGTATCCTATCACAAAATTACTTTTTCAAATTACATAAAATTATATATAAAGAACTACTGCCTCTTCACAAAATAGTATGCTATTATTCCACACATATATATCCTTATCTATATCCTATGTACCCTTCAGTTGTGTTCTTAAATTTCACTTTTTCATAAAAGCCTTCCTTGTTCTGCCTCTCACCTAAGACTAGCTGCTACCTTCTCCCACAGCAGCCTGCAATTCTTCTTGTAACACTTACAGCACTGGCTTTTTCCATCTATCTAGTCCATGAGCTCAATGATAACACTGTTTTACTCACAGTTGTATTTCAAGTATCTTGAACAGGGCCTGATGAATAAAAGAAATCTAAGAAATATTTGACAACTACTTGACTAATTGATGTACTTAAGGATGGTCTTATTGCCCGGCCGGGCGTGGCTCAGCGGTTGAGCATTGACCTAGGATCCAGGCGATCAGGACTCGATTCCTGGTCAGGGCACATGCCCGGGTTGTGGGCTCGATCAATGACTCTCTCATCACTGATGTTTCTGTCTCTCTCTCCCCCTCTCCTTTCCTCTCTCTGAAATCAATAAAGATATATTTAATAAAAAAAAAAAAGAATGGTCTTATTAAGTATGGAACAGGGTTACTAAGTTATGAATATTTTCAATAAAGAGTTCATTTCTCTTAAAAAATAAACTCTTACCATTATCACCCCAATAAATTTAATTAAAATAAATTTTTTTAAATAAAGTCTTAAAAGAGAGACAAATATAAAAATGAATTTAGAGCAACATTTAAAATAATGCCATAATTTCAAATTACTTCTATTAGCTATTCAATGCTTTCATTGAAACATAATAACTCAAAGAATCACCTTAAAGACTGACATATATATATTCCATGGGCATAGACAACAGTGTGGTGAAGAC